TGGGAGTGGGATGAACACTCACAGAAGTCCACACTTCTTGCCCAGAAGACAAAGATGTAGATGGGCTGAAACTTTCCAACCTAACATTTGATCAGATCTGATTCTCTGAACTGTTTGCTTTCTTTCTGATGTCAAGTGGTACTTGTCCCTCCTCAGCTGCAGGTCGAGTTGATGAGGAGGCAGGCAAGTTCATCAGGCGGCATTCTAAGGAAAATAGCAGCCCTGCTGAGCTCATTTCAGGGCGCGAACAGAAGGGGGCCGAGAAGGATGTTACTTATTAACTGTGAAACACAGACTGTGGAGCCGGTTTTTGTTTGGCAACAACACATCCTTTGAATTCCCAGTGATTGCGGAACTGTAAGGCTTTCTTCTGGCGGGATTATTCTGACCCCTCTCCCTCCTTCCTGCGCTGTGGGTGTGAAGAGGGATATGTAAATGACTGGTGCTTTCAAGAGCCATCAGCCCTTCCACTTTAGCCTGTAGGAGAAGCTAATTCAGGAAGGATGCGATTCATTTCCAGCCTTTGACAAGTCCATGTCATGAAAACCCAATTATGATCTTTTGCTGTAGGAAAAGATTTATTATCAATTTGCAACAATGTACCACATGACCACTTTAAATAGACAGTTTCCCGTGTGCATTTTATATCTTCTTCTTCTTCTTTTTTTTTCAAAGGACTGAGCGGTCACTGAGATGATCCCTGTGTGCCTGGCTGTGCTGGAAACCTCACCAGCCAGGTCTCCTGCGCTGTGAGTGGGCCCTGCTCCACCAAGTGAGTTTTTCGGAACTCTCCTGGTGACACTGTCACACCACCCAGGAAAAGGGACAATGTGGCCTAAGAGCAGTGCCCACTCTCCGGAAGCCTTTCCTCCTGCAGGGCGGGCCACACCCCTGATAGATGCTTGTGACCCAGGGGTTTGTAGACTCCAGGTACCCAGAGGAGCCAGGGAGAACCTGAGCAGGAAACCGTGGACGATCACACTCCAGAGGCCAGTGCTGGCCAGTGCCTAGGGCCAGGGTGGTTGTCAGGACATTCCTGCGTCACCCAATTACTGAACCTGACTCCGTTTAAGTCACTTTAATTAAAATAGGAGGCCCAGTTCCACCCAATGGCAGGTGGAAGCCGCTGTCAGGTGACCCAGAGTAGGACTTGAGGACCCAGGGCAAAAGTGCCACCTCTCGAATGGGCCACTGATGACTGAAATGGCTCTCGCCTACCATTCTTGCCAAAGGATGCAGATTCTTTTGCAAGGAGGGCCATCGCTAGAGCCTTAAGTTTTAGAGCAGGGAGCCCTGGGGTGTCCCTGAGAAGTGTGTATGTGACACAAGAGCATGCCTCAGTTTCTACTCCATGTAACCCCCGAGGGTGAGGGGTTTGCGTGTTGTCCAGCTGATGTGTGCCTGGCACCTGGACTGGAGCCTGGCACCTCATGGGGTCAGAAAATACTTGTGGACCCGTGGCCGGAGGTGCCCAGTTGACCTAGTCCTTCCCAGGACGGGGAGGCAATCAGTGCACGTCGAGCGCTCTCCCCTCCGCTTTGTCTCTCTGTGTGTGCGCCAGCCTTGCTCCCCCTGGGGACTGGCGTCACTGCCAGTGTGCAGATATTTGTTATCATTCTCTGTGAACCTAGGGACTCTTCCCAGCGCTTGGGGACATCGTGGATGCTGACATAGCAGGGCCTATGCTGGGACTTTGAGTCCCTTCTCTTTGCTCCACTGAATTCCTTGGTCCGGCTTCCCTGGGAACCGTGCCATTGCAATGCCAGCACAGCCCCAAGGACTGAGAGGATGTCTTCAACAGGGCTGCCTGAACATAGCTCGCTCCCATCCTCCGCCCCATCCCCGCCCTGAGACTGGAGGCCTCCGGGTCCCTTCCAGCAGCACAGTCTGTCCTGAACCACTGATTCTCTCTGACCTTGAGCAGTGACCTTCAGAACCTGGGTTTGTGGTGCCTGCCAGGAGACACTTTTAAAATGAAACTAGATGCCAGGGATTTAGCTCAGTGGTTCCAGCGCCTGCCTCGCAAGTGCAAGGACCCAAGTTCAATCCCCGGTACCAAAAAAAAAAAAAAAATGAAACTAGAGGGCCGGGGATGTAGCTCAGTGGCACCATGCCTGCCTTGCAGGCGCAAGGTCCGAGTTCGATCCCCCACACCACAAAAAACAAAAAAAGCAACTAGAAGAACGTTTTGGTCCTTTTACCCATCAGCTGTTAATCTGTAGGATTTTCCCCTTCCCAGGGTTAAGAGAGAGAAGAGGAAGTGAAAACAGAAGGGGAGAATTTTCTTACAGCACCTCTTGCTTTGTAGACAACAACCAAAAATTCCCTTGGGGTTGGAGGGCGCTGCGTACTTTTTTGTAGCTTGTTCCCATCCATGAGCCACTCTCAGGCTCCCCCAGCTCCCCGAGGTGGGAATTCTGAGCGGCCTGGTCTCCCTCATTGGCACACGGGGCGCTCCTGGGGCTGCAGGCCAGGCCGGGGCTGGATGGGCTGCTTTGGGGGAAGGGAACCCGGGGAAGCTGAGCAGAGCTTTTCCATGCCTGGCGCAGAAAGCTCTGCGAAGTCCGGGATGCGAGCCGGTCTCTTCTTGGGGAGCCCTTTGGGTACAGAAGGTCTGTGTCCCCTTCTGCTGGTCTCTCTGAACACGAGCTCCTGGGGCTCCTCCACCCCAAAGCCTGAGTCCTGGTGACAGCATCTGCTGCCAAGACACTGCGGCCTCCCGCAGTCCTGCAGGCCTGGCCCTGGCCTTCCTGTCGCCCTAACAGACTTCACTGGCGATCAGGACGGGCACGGCCCATGGGGAAGGGGAGAATCCGAAAGCAGCTGGGATGGAGGGAGCCCTGCTGCCCAGAAGCTGCAGGCCCTGGTGCAGACACTGACCTCTGTGCTCTGGAAACAACAGTTCGTGCTGGGCCAGGGCCAGGGCCAGGGTCAGCACGTCTGGAATGGGCAGTCCCAGGAGCCAAGTCACATTCACCGAAGCTCTGAGAGGGATCGAGGCGTGGCCCTGTGGAACTGCAAACAAGGCAGGCGGGGCCAGCTGGGGAAGGGACCTCACAGGAGCCTCCCTGCCTGCTGAGGGTTGGGGCTTGCTCAAGGGCAGGGCCATGTGGGAGGCCAGCAGGGCTGGAAATGAGCGCTGGGGGATCATGTGCCTGAGGCCTCTCTTTAAGACACCCCAAGATAGGATCGCAGAGCTGTGAGTCCCCCAACACCGGCCCTCCCACCTTTCCTGCTCATCTTGGCTCCTTCTCTGCTTCCACGGCCCTCGCCTCTGAGTTTGCCCCATCAGCCACCAGAAGTCCTGGCTGGAGGCGAGTAAGGAATCGGATGGACCCAGGAGGTGGCCTCTGTCTGCCCTTCTTTGCCCAGGAAGAGGCTGGGGAGATGGCTGGGCAGGAGTGGCCGTGGCAGATTCCCAGGGAGGCAGGGAGGGCTGGGGTCTCTCTGGGGTCCAGACTGTGGGCTCCGAGAGCACCTAGCCTGGTCCCCACAGGACGATGGACCAGCAAGGGAAGGAGGGAGGGACGGAAATCTGTGTGAACTGGGCCGTGCCACGGAGCAGATTTATCCAGCCTGCAGAGGGTTGTGGTTTTCAGGGTGGACAGAGCTGCTGGCCAGGGTAGCCCAGCTCTTCTGTCTTTCTGGGGGATGAAGGAAGGGGTGTGAAGGATGTGGCCACCTTTGAGGAGGAGCCTGTATGACCTCAGAACTGTGCTTCACATGGCGACAGCCCCCGTCCAGTGAGGATCCGACAACTCTACCAAGTTCCTCCCAGTTAATGAGTGTGCACTTTGCTCTCCTTGATCGAGGCCCAGCCTTCTCCCGGGAGAGGCCTGGGGTGCTGGGATGGGCACTGGGTGGGGATTGAGTGTCTTATGGTTTCATCAGCATTCAGGAGTTTTGGAATGGGACGAGCAGGAAGCAGCTGTTGCTCTTACACGTCCACAGGCAACCTTGAGAGCCACGCAGGGGTCCGTGCAGCTGTGGGGCCTGGGGGAGCGTGGGGGTGGCTGCCTCCACTGGCACCGGGCAGCCTGGGATCCCAGAGCTGGGGGCTGGGCAGCTGTCAACCTCCCCTGGTGGCCTCTCCCGGTCCTTAGCGATCCGTGCACACCTGGGGTGTTGGGAGAAGCCGCACTGGGCCCAGCTCCTTGTCGAACCAGCCTCCGTCTCCCGCTCTGACGGCAGCCTGGGTCTGTCAGCCCCCAAGCGTCTCCTCTTGGAAGGACACCAGCCTCCTCTGACATCGCCAGCCTGCCTGGAGGCGGCCTGGCTGATCTGGCATTCTTAGGGTGGTGGATTCACTCCTGGCCTGGGTGTTTCCGATGCCACCGCTGGCACCAGGAGGGACAAAGTCATTAAGCCCTTGAGAGGAAAGGAGAATTCATTCCTGGGCACACTTTTTTTACTTCCATTTCTTTCTGGGTAACTTCAAATGTGTTAATCCAGGAGTGGTGTTCTTTTTTTTTTTTTTTTCTTTTTCCTTTTCCTGTTGTAACAGGTGTAATGTATAGCAGTAGGTTTTTATTTTTATTTATTTATTTATTTGGTACCGGGGATCGAACTTAGAAGTAGGTTTTTAAAAAAATTTTTTTTTTTTGGTACCAGGGATCAAATTTGGGTCCATGCGCTTGCACAGCAGGTGGCGAAACCACTGAGCTAAATCCCCAGCCCATTAAAAAAATATTTTTATTTTTATTTTTATTTTCTGGTACTGGGGATCGAACTTGGGACCTTGTGCTTGTACGGCAGGCACCGGAACCACTGAGCTAAATCCCCGCCCTAAAAAAATATTTTTAAAGACACATCATCGTACATATGCAGTTGTTTAAAAAACTGTATTTTTCATTAGAATCGTGTACATGTGAACACCAGAGATGTGAATCCTTATTGATTATAAAAATGATCTAATTATATTAAACCTGGTTTTGAAGAGACAGGAAGAGATTACTCATGATCTTACCACACTGAATCCTCTTTCTTTCTCCCCTTCCCAGTTCTTGGCCGATGCAGATTGATAGAACATTTGCTTTTTGACGAAGCCCAGCCTGGCAGCTAGAGTTTGCATGGCCCTGAGATACTGCATAATCTTTCTCATCATCATCAATGTGCAAAGTACTTCGGTATCATCACCTACCTGACTTCCTGTGGCTGGAAGCCTCACTTCTGTGTTCACGACTCAAAGCTAGCTATTCGCCAGTCTGCCTGGGCTGTCAGACCCGGGGGCAGCAGAGAATGGGGACTGGCTTTGGAGGAGGGAGAGGTACTCTAGCCTGCCCTCAACCTGGCTCTGGAGCTGAGCCCTGCAAAAGGTACCCATAAAAAAGAGCCACCTCCATCTTTCAGTGGTTAAGGGGCATTTGGGGGACATGTTTGTGCGAAGCATTTCACAGGTGCACTTACCCACTGGGCTGTAGAGATAGCTCCTCTACCAGGTGGCAGGCCTGGGCCATGCCTTATTGGATCTTGTGTTGTTGGGGCCGAGGACAGTCCTTGGCATATTAAAGGTACTCAGTAGTTGTTTGTAAGAAGGATTCATGCCTCACAAGAAATCTGTGACTGGCCAGGCTCTTTCCCCAGCCCAGGCAGCAGATTTGGACACATTGTTGTTTCAGGGATTTAGCAGCCCACCTCGATTTAGTAAGGTGTACGAGTTGGACTTGTCCCCGTGTGCTTGGGACTTACTCCGGTGGCTGCAGGGGTTGGATAGCTTCAGCGGTCAACATCCCCGTTCAGTCCCAGGTAAATGGGGACAGGGTTCTGTCATAGCCGCTCACCCAGTTCTTGTCATGCTCCTGTAGAGGGCGCTGGAGGTAAAGCACAGAAAGCAGAGGCCAGCGGACTGAGCCCTTCCGGGTGGAGATGTGTCCCATCCCAGGGGCACAGGCACCATCAGACTCCAGGTTCTGTTTCCTGTCACGGTTCTTAGCACCCCCACGAGGGACACCTGGCAGGGAACCAGTGCTGTTGGAGGACAGGGCTGACCGTGTCAGAGAAGCTTGATGCTTGCACCTCTTATTTCTGACCTCGAGAAAGCAAACTGTGTCAATAAACCGTGATGTGTCTCGGGCTGCCGTGCTTGCAGAGGTGACCTCGCCAGGAGCCGTGACAATCAGACCGGGGCAGGAACAGTGGGTACAGAAGTCTCACGCAGAGCAGAAAGCTGTGGGAACGTAGGAGAGGGCCAAGGGGGTCTGAGCTGACAGCAGTAAAGCCGGGACCCAGCCAGCTCCGTGTTCGAGGAGCTCTGCATCCCCTCTTTTTCAGAAGTGAGGCCGCTTCTTTCCCTGAGTCTAGGACAGCTCTCAGATGAGAGTCTTATGACCGCTCCAAGAGGAGGCCAGAAAGTCCTTCCTGTCCCTGCCATTTCTCTGATCACTTCTGCCTAAGAAAGTCCATATCCCAAGACCCCATAATTGGGGGGTCACATATCCTGGGCCCCACCAACACATCCCACCTCGGGCACTGGCCTGGCAGAAGCACAGGAGTCAGTACCGGCTCCGGGAGCGCAGATTTCCCGGGCCCGCACGCAACGCCCATGAGTGGCCGCCTGGTGCGTGCAGCTGCCCGGGGCTCGGCTGGGCTGCAGAGGCGTTAGGACAGAGGCTCTCGCGGCCCACTCTATGTTGTTAAACCAGACTTGAGGCAACAACTGCATTTCCTCAGGTGTGTGTGGGCACTGTTTTGTAAGGATGCCCGGCTGGGGATTGAAAAGCAGAGGTGCTGCTCACTCCTCGGGACACTGTTAGTGTGGCTGTGTGCGCCTGCACCCATGTCTGGAAAATGACTTAGTTAGGGTCCCCGTCTTTCTTCCTGTATGATGAAGAGAAGTTACTGGCTTCAAAGCCTTTCACCCTCTTAGAAAATCACTTGAAGAACTGCAGGGATAGGAGAAAAGCGTCGGTGCTCGGAGGGAGCTGCGGAGGAGAGGCAGCGCTGTGGCTCCCAGTCTGAGCTCTCACCCCGCAGTGGGGTGCCATCACCCGTAGAGCCCCAGCAGGCAGACCCAGGTGGGATGCTGTCTCCATCCTAAGTTCATCGTGTAGTTCTGGACCAGTTATTTAACCTCCCTGAACCAATGGTGATGATATTCATGACATCCTCCTGAGATCCAGGTGGGTGAAGGGAGAGAACAGGTAAGGTCTTTAGTCTAGACCTGGCCTTTGCAGGGTTTCAGCCTCTATGTGTGTTGAGGGAGTGAGTTACTTCCTGTTCTTAACTTCAAGTTCCCTCTTCTGTTAATCCACTGTTGTTTAGCTGGAATGATGCTGGAGTAGATGAAGTTATGGCTTTCATTGGTTGCATGAAACGTGATCAAAATACAGTGTGAATGATTAAATTTTAAGAAATTTATTACAGTAAAGGACATGTTGCCATGAGTCCCCCTCAATACTCCCCCGTCACTTTGAACACACATATGCCATTGTTCTTGGCACTTTCTTTTTGTTTTTTTGGTACCAGGGATCGAACTCGGGTCCTTGCGCTTGTGCAGCAGGTGGTGAAACCACTGAGCTAAATCCCCGGCCCTTTCTTTCCACTTTCTGAAGGAGTTCTGGAGTCCTCTTTCGTGAGTGTCATTACGAGTTGTGATAAAAACAACTATGGTGAATGCTGATGCCAAGTGCCATTCAAGTATGGAAAAGCAGGCTCATATAAACATTACAGCGTGTCCTCATCCACTTTAGTCACCAGGTATGGCACCGTGCAACTTCGGGCTCTTCTCCAAAGTCTAAATGATCATGAAAAGAAAAGTTTTGAATCAATTCAGGGCATGGGGGCAGCCACGACAGTGCAAGTAAAGACATTCCTGAAAGAGGACTTTCAGAACTGCTGCAGAAAGCAGCAAGAGCGATGGATAAGTGTGTTGGAAGTGAGGGGAAGGATTCTGAGGGAGATTCATGGCAGTGCACTCTTTACTTTAACACATTTTAAAAAATGTAGTAATCACCATATTTTAAAAATCAAATCTCATATTTAGAGACACTCAATGAATAGGTTTAGATGTTTTGCAAGTTTTCACAGGTATCCAACTTTGAACTGTCTTCACCCTCCTCCTCATTATCTACAACGAAGACCAACGGGCTGACCGCGAGGCGCCTGGCAAGAGACAAAGCACCCTGCACATGTTCTCATTTTCTTCTCACATCCACTCCAGGAAACGGATACTGCAGTAATTTTTTCCCTCTTGCGCAGATGAGAAAACTAAAAACTGAACTTGAACCACAAACTGTACTAAAACCTGTTCTCAACCTCAACTCTTTACTGCTTCTCTTCACGTGACTGATTTCATCTTTCACAGGTTGGATCTTACTAGTTTCGCTTCTGGAGGACTCAGCAATCTCCGGGTCCTGGGTTCTGGTTTCAAGTTGTCCGCAAACACTGCCAAGGACAAGATGACTGGTGGTGCCACCATGTGTTTCTGAAAATAAGAAAGAACTGAAAAATAATCAGCCTTGAAAGCTAGAGATAAAAAATGCCATGGCTGGGCATTTAGCTCAGTGGTTCTGCTGCCTGCCTTGTAACCACAAGGTCCCGAGTTCGATCCCTGGTACCCCCCCACCAAAAGAAAGCCAGCCCCAGGAAAACAGGCTGTCCACATGCTGAAGATTAAATCTAGACCCACATCTCTCACCGTGCACTAAACTAAAATGGAAATGGATCAAAGATCTAAATATAAAGACAGAAACAATCTGCTGGAAGAGAGGTTAGGTGGAACTCTTGAAGACATTGGCGTAGGAAAAGACTTTGTGAACAAAACCCTGATTGCACGGGAGCTATCACAAAGAATCAACAACTGGGATCTCAGCATATTAAAAAGCTTCTGCACAGCAAAAGAAATCACTAAGAGGGTAAAGAGACAACCCACAGAATGGGAAAAATTTTTTTACTGGCTACTCCTCAGACATAGGACTAATATCTAGAATATATAAAAAACTAAAAACTAAAAACAAAAACAAAAATCAGACCCCCCCAAACTTGAAGACCCAATTCAAAAATGGGCATCTGAAATGAACAGTCATTTCTCAGATGTAGAAGTACAAACAGGAGATAAATATATGAAAAAATGCTTGACATCACTGGTCATTTGAGAAATACAAATTAAAACAACACTGAGATTCCATCTCACTCCAGAAAGAATGGCTGTCATCCAGAAATCAGCCAATAACAAATGCCGGCGGGGGTGTGGGGAAAAAGGAACCCTTCTCCACTGTTGGTGGGAGTATAAACTGGTGCAACCACTGTGGAAATCAGTGTGGAAATTCCTCAAAAAACTGGAACTAGAGGTTCCATTTGACCCAGCTATTCCCCTTCTAGGTATCTTCCTGAAAGTTAAAAGCATCGTACCACAGTGATATATGCGTACTCATGTTGATAGCAGCACAATTTATAATAGCTAAATCTTGGAAACAGCCCATATGCCCATTAAAAAATGAATGGATCAAGAAAATAGTACTCTGCCATAAAGAAGGATAAACTTGAATCCTTTGTAGGAAAATGGATGCACCTTGAGACCATAATCTCAAGTGAAATAAATCAGACACACAAGTTTAAATACCGCATTGTTTCTCTTGAGAAACCCAAAGGGTATATGATGAGGAACATAGTGGAGGATAGATACTGTGAAGTAGGTAGAGAATGTTCAAATGGGAAGAGGAATAAGGGGGAAGGGAAGGGAAGGAAGGGAAAGGGGCAAAAAAGAAAGAAATGGAAAAGATGGAAACAGCTTGTGTAAATGGGGAGGCGAAGAAGGGTTGAAGGGAGGGGAGGGGAATGGGAAGAAAGAAGAATTGAGATGTGTCATGCACAGGTACAAATTCCCTGTGATGAATGCAGTCAGTATGTAGGACAAATATGTACTAAAAAAAGAATAAGTGGGGCTGGGGATTTAGCTCAGTGGTTTCGCTGCCTGCTGCGTAAGCACAAGGATCCGAGTTTGATCCCCGGTACCCAGCCCCCC